AGACTAAAAATAGTAAGATTAGAGATGACATTCAACCATGGACTGTCCAAAGGTGGTTTTTAAGTACTACCAAAGGAGAAACTAGGCCATGGTATGATCGGTTTAAAAAATATATAGGTCTAGAGAACATTCTGTTCATTATGTAGCTGTGGAAGCATACAATACAGATTTTGTTTTCCAGGGTTTGGATTTTATGTTCTTTTACTTGACTTAAGAGGGTACCCTTTTTGATATCAAAGAAGCGTTGGCATAATCTACACAAGATTGAGAGTTTGCTGTGATGAAATTAATGTAAAGGTTTTAAAATGCAACCGATTCTTCTATTAAGCAAGTTGTTCTATTCAGACGAACAGCTTCGACATCAACTAGGCTCTTAGCAAATAACTGCAGGATTCTCTTTAGAGCAGGCACATAGAAATATTGCAGGACCAGGAAAAAGAACTCACAGTATGAGTTCCTGTGCTCCTGAACCATTTCACGTATTGTCAGCTCAGCATCAAGGCTTTTGGTAGGATTTGGCTCTATGTCTAACCTTTTATGCATGTGGATTAAAAAAAAACAGTATTAGCTGAGCTTGTTTTTTATATTGCAGAAACTTCAAATGCCTGGCCTGAATTGTACAAAATTGTCATGAGCCCTTGACTAATTAGGGTACTGTGAAGTCCATAGGAGTCTTATCCTTCCTTTGGAATTTTCTTTTCATCTCTAGAGTGCACAATACGTTTTTTTGTCTGAGTAGGAAGAGTGAACTGAGAGAGTAAGATTGATACTTGTCACTTGACTTTTAAGGATAAAGGATGTATTCCTTCCTTCCCCACTCCCAAGACTCTCAGTGTGGAAGAGCAATGTGTTGGGAATGGGTAACTCAGATGAGACAATTGCTAAAATTTAACTTTGGTATTCTGCTACTCAAAAAAAGATGAAATCTTAGGTGTAATTGCATGATGCAGAGATTGGAATGTGAAAAAGGGGACTATGATGTTAGCATGATCATGACACTGGTGATTGTGAAAAATACTAAAATTAGTCAGTAGCACCAAACAGTTCCTTTTTAGTTGGGTGAAATTTTTTCTTTCAGACTTTGCTTGCCAGGAATTCAACTCAGCAAATATTCACTAAGCACCAGTCATTCCGAGCTTTAGAGCTTGGTTTTTCAAAGATGAATGTGACCTAGTTCTTACTCAAAAGTAAACTCAAACTAATAGAGAAAAGCCATTGTTAATACCGTTTTTTTTTCATGAAAACATTTTGGATGATATTATTTGATCCACAATGACCAAAAAATATTTATTAGAATACTCATGATTTGTCTCCTGTGACACAGTCTTTCGTTATGAAGGCAGGGGTGTCTGCATTGTGGGCAAAAAGAAATTTTAGATTGTAGATCTAAATGTGAATCAATAAAGATTCTAGATGAAAATGCAGGGTAATGTCATGATTTTGGGGTAGGCACAGTTCTTTAAATGGGATACAAAAATATACTAACTGTAGAGAAAATTAAAATGGATGAATTGGACTACATTAAAATGATTGTAGTGCATCACAAGATAACATTGAGAATAAAAAGCCCAAGTAATGGAAGAAAAAGTTGCAATAAGAATATTCAAAAGATATTTGTGTATTCACTATACAAAGAACTTCTGTCAATACAAAGGAAAAGGTAGGCTACCCACTAGAATTATGTGGGTTAGCTAGACGAGTAAGCCCTCACAAAAGAGGCTTGTTGTCTTGGTTGGAGGTAGCAATTGGAAAGGAAGGGACTTCTGGGGTTCTGGTAATAATTTTGGTTACTTGGACATGTTTACTTTGTGAAAAACCTTCAAATTTCAGTCTGCACATTTTTCTGTTTCATATATGTTATACTGTCACTGAAAATGTTTACACTAAAAAAGGCAATGTCTTGTCTAGGATAAAGGATGTAAACAAAATATTTTCAGAGGTTAACCGTTGTCTACATCTCTTCATTTAGAATTTTCCCTGTAGGGAAGCAGAAAAATCATTGAGAATGTAGGGCTTTGCAAGGTAGCTAGGGCAGGTCTGTTGTGTGAAACAGTCCTGCACATGGGGTGATAGTATCTTGAGTCGGTAAGACTTTGCCTACCGGTATTCTGAGATGGGGGTGGGGAAGAAAACAAAAATAATTGTGGAGAAAGAATTAGAAACAAGGTTGATTACTTTCCAATTATTTGGATGGTTAACTTGGCCGATAACAGTGTTTAAACCACCCCTTATTTGATCCCTATTTTCATGTGCCCAGACACCGAGAAAGAGGCTTTCTGTTCATTAGAAAAGCAAAACTCTCACCAAAATCTCAAGAAATATATTATTATTACCTGAATTTACAAATGAAGAAACTGAGATTTACTGAGATTGCATCACCTGCTCACATTCCAGCTCGGATGTAGTAGTGAGCTTCAGCTGGAATTTAGGTGTGTGTAATTTGAAAGTTCTGCTTTTTGATATAACTATTATGCTGCTTCTTTTTCCCTTTCTTTCTTTCTTTCTTTCTTTCTTTCTTTCTTTCTTTCTTTCTGTCTGTCTGTCTGACTGTCTTTCTTTCTGTCTTTCTCTCTCTCTCTCTCTGTCTTTCCATTTTTTTTTTTGAGACAGTCTGCTATGTAGTTCAGGCTGGTCTTGAACTCATTATATAGCCCAGGCTGGCCTAGAATTTGCAGCAATCCTCTTGCCTCAGCCTCCAAATGCTGAGATTACAGGCCTGTGCCACCATGCCTGGCTGCCTGATATTTCTTGCACCAATTTTATTTGATTGTGCATAATGAGGAGAAGAAAATACTTAACATAATAGATACAGTATTCAAATTCGATAATCAAAAGAACTCGAATCAATTTTAGAGTGTGAGGTTTGCTGTACTGTAAGCTTTTGTGGATTGACATTTTTGTTTTCTGGTAAAGAAGTGGTGGTGGTGGTGGCTGAGAAATCCCCTGTGAAGCACTACAGTCTGTGTTGGGAATGCTACATAAAGGTGACCCAGGGGCCCTTATCAAAGCTTTAGGACATTTTAACAACCAGATAATTGCTTATGATGGACACTGCAGAGATTGGAATGTCCATCATAAGCATAAGGCTTTGTTTTCTATTTATTAATCACTGCTTCAAGCTAGACTTTAATTCACAGGCAGATATATATAAAATGGTTACTGTCTACTGATTGCCACATTGCTCTCTGAATATCAATGCTGTCTGCTGGCTTGGATGCAGAGACAGAAAGGAGAAAGGCAGGAAAAGGGTGTGACAAGGAACCTGGGAAACTGAATCTGTTCTAAAAGCCAAATTCTTGTGTAGAAGTCAGAATTTTGACAGAAATTATTGATATTTGTGTGTGGCTGGGATTTTGGGATTGCTCTGCTTAGCACACGTGTGTTCTTTTTCCCTTGTTGTGTTATATTGGCTGCCTTGAGAATGTGCATGGGTAGATATTTCATATTTTTAGGTTTTTTTTTTTTTTTTGCTTCCATGGCTTGTTTTTGGTCCTTGGAGCAGTCCTGTTTGCAGCCTGTGAAGTGTTTATAGCATCAGAATATTGTCACAATGCTAAATTAAATTTGAATTATTTACTTCCAAATGTGTCTTCCCAACAGTCTAATGACCATAATGACTATGTAAGCCATATGACAAAAAGGCACATGCTCTGATTTAAATGGAAATATATGTGGATATGGTTTTAGAGCTTTCTATTTATTAAAAAAAACCTCTTTTTTTTTTTAAATCCTTAAGGCTAATTTTCTGGCTTTTATTGCTATAATAATACATACAAAAGAAGCACTAACCAAGCTGAGATAATTGAAAATGCCCACGTATAACACAATTAAATTCATTGTGCTAGAATCTATCCAGTTATATGAGCTTGTTTTAGGTACAGGTGCTTATTTTAAAAAAACTGGACAGGAGCTCTGGTTTGCATTATGTGAGATATAGAACTAGTTTAGAAGTAGATTCCACTTCAGGGACTATGTAATTATTTATTAATTAGATTAGCACTGTACATTGTGTCTTGAAGCTACCCCGAGAACTGTAGGAACATCTGTTCTACTGTGATTTTGGAGGCTTGCTGGGTTGTTTCCCCAAAGACCTTGACAATAACAGTTTGACGTACTTGGAATAGGCAGTGCCACAGTGCTGCCGTCACCGTAGGCATTTTTGAGCTTGGTTTCATGTTGGTAAATTGATACTCTCAAGTGCATTCGAGGTGCTCTTTTTTTTTAGGGGTTTGTTTTCATTGAGTCCTAGCTTTTCTCTTTCCTTATTTAGTGAAATAGTGACAACTGCCATTTTCCACCTTCGAACAGTATTATTAGTGCTCTTAAAAATAGAAAATCACTTTCCAGGTGGGCCTGGAAACCATTTTGTACACATGGCCTTATTTAAATAGCCAAGACTTTGCATGTATAAACGGGCAAGTTTTCAGGCAATTTGGGTAGGCTTTCCAATCTCATCTCTCCATTTCCTGTCTAAACAACTTCTTCCATGTCCACAGCATGTTTATGCAACACTGAATAAAACTTCTAATGGGAGATTTCTTCCAGGTGACCTCCCTGAGAGGCTGTGCTGTGAAGAAATCTTAAGAAACCTGACCCTAATGAAATTGCCTCCCTTGAGAATATCACTTGGTGCAGAAACAAGAGACGGAATTCAGTTATTTTTGTTTCTTGAATAAATGAATTCTGTTTCCTTTTGTGTAGGTGGCAGAAGAAATTAACCCCTGCAGAAGGCCCAGTCTCAGTTGGAAATTGAACTCTGAATTTCTTTTGAGTTAGGAGCACCCTGGATAAGAGAATGTTAAATTGTTTTTATTTGAACATTAAAGAACTTGGAATTGGTTCTGCTATCCCTCTGTATTTTATAGATATGTATTTTCCAGGGCTATCTGTCTTTATGTTTAATTTTCTCTAGGCTGAGACTATGATTACCTAATGACCTGCAACTTTGCATCACATGGGGATGGATACTAATGAATCCATTTTGTTTTTAACCTTCCCAGCACTTTTGGAAAAATCAATCAGTAGAAGGCGGGACTCTGAAGCCATACAGAAGGCCAAAATTCTTTATTCATCTTGTATGAATGAAAGTGAGTAATAAGTAAATGTTTACCCCCTTTAGCCTTCAGAATTCTCTTTGAAGAAAAAGACACTGTTTGAAAAAGAGAACTGAAAATTCTCTTACTGTTTGAAGGTTTTCGTTGAAGAAAGCAACATGGTCAGTGACAGAATTTTGATTAATCTTCCTTAGTTACCATTTTGTGATTGACTTGGTGGAGAAAATTGTCTTATTTCTATGATGTGGACTATTTTGGGGATCAGTTCCTCTATAAGACACTTGGACAGGGCAGTAGAGCAAGCCTCACTGTACCTGATATAAAAACAAAAATCCAGAGGCCAAGCCACTTCATGTCTGAGAAGGAGATGGAGAGCCTCCCGCCTGTCTCTTGACATCTTGGGTCTCACCAGAGTTGAAAGAGGTAGTTGCCATTTTACCTGATCTGCTTTCTCAAATCTACCACAGGAAGAAGATGGTGGTTCGGGGAAGTATTATGTGCTGGGCTAGGATTTGTGGTATCACTTAGTAAGCTGGAAGAGGGCAGTAAAAGAACAGAATCTGAAGCGTTACTTTACTTCACTAGGGAGTGACTGGCTTTACTGAGCCATTTCCTTCAGTTCAGGTTGTCCGTAGGTACCACCACGTATGATTAGTCTAACTTCATTCATTGGGGTCAGTATAGTGAGTCCATCTTCTATTGTAGGGAAAACCTAGCAGAGCTCTCTGTCAGCTTTTCTAGAAAAACTGCAAGATTTAGATAATCATATTGAAGTGTGACTGGATTTGTCTGTGATTATGCACAATTCACCCCACATCAGCTGTCTTTTTCCTAACAGCTGAAATGTCAAGTTGAGGCCTTACAGAACTTTCTCTCCAGAAGATGCAGTTACATTCTTGTTTGGTGACCTGGTTTGCAATTCTAACTCTCCCTTCATATCTACTCCCATTCAGAAGCGATTGAAAAAGCTGATGCCAAACCACTGCTCCATATCCTGCGACATTCACCTTTCCGCTGGCCCGTGCTTGAAGCTAATATTGGTCCTGAAGGAATTTGGTCAGAGAGAAAATTCAGCCTGCTGCATACACTTGCAACATTCCGTGGTCAATACAGCAATTCTGTATTCATCCGTTTGTATGTGTCCCCTGATGACAAAACGTCCAATGAACACATCTTGAAGGTATAGCCAGAAAGAGCTCTGTTCAGCCCAAGATTGGTCTTTTGGGGTGCCTTCCTAGGGAAAGAAATTTATTCTGTCCCCATGAATGATCAAATAAAACTTTTGTTGAACTTTTAATTCAGAATATTACCCTCTCTAAGATATGAATATTTAGATTAGTAGTAGACAAATTTTGTCAGCCTTTTGGGAGGCAGGTGAGTAAGTTTCAAAATGACATGTGATCTGGTCCTCCAATGTCTATTTAGGGGGCCCCTAAATTCCAGCAAAAAGACAGCTATGATTCTCCAGCTATTATCAAAAACTTTCTGAACTCTGCTCTTTTCCTCACCTCCTCGCTACCCTGAGAGAGAATAGAATTCGTGGATGATTTCTTGTTCTTCTTTCATGAACATCTTTTTGCATACACGCCTACATTCTCATTGTCAAGTTCAATCTGAATTTCTTTTCCTTCCTTTCAAAACATCAAGCAGAACTTGTTCTAAGTAGCTGACTACATTTTCTGTTGAAAGAGTAAGCATCTCTTCCATGAAAGATTGGGTCATGTGGACATACCCTGAGGAAGATCACACTGTTAAAATCAGAAGACTGCCAGGAAGCTAGCAACAGCAGATTCACCAATGAAAGAGCTTTGTGAGAATTCAAATAACACTTTTGAAATCACTCTGTGCTTTGATCTTGCTGTTTTTTACTTTCAAACTTACTTTGACTAATAATGTTTATTGAACAATTGACCCCCCATTTTGTTCTTTGTCAAGCTAGAAAATATTTATGGTGCATTGATATTCAAATAGTAGAAGTTATGAAACCATTAATGTATATCATCCTTACTTGATATAACTCAACTTTTTGAAATCCAAACCCTGGAGTTGATCTTGGATTAGACTACAGAGTGGCAATTATTTTCTGTAAAGGGCCAGCTAGTGCCTATTTTAAGTTTTTCAGGCAGTCTGGCCTTCGTTGCAACAACTTGACTTTGCTATTTGACTTATATAAACAATCTTAGATGAGAGTTGGTGGCTATGTGATGGCTGACCCAAGGGCTATAGTTATCTGACTTCTAGACAGTGAAAGTATCAGTAAAAATCCTTAGTTATTGAATGAATTCCCACCTACCTAGAAGGAAATTCTGACTTTCAGAATGTGTTTCCATGTTGGGAGATGGAATGATCATATCTTATTGATCCAACTTCTGATGCTATCAGGATAAAATGTGGTATGTAAGATGTAATGAATCCACTGTACCTCTCTCCCATGTTGATAGATTACTCATTTTCTAAAAGTGGATTTCAAGACCATCATTATCAATTCCAGACCTGTTAGGATATTCTTCCAAACACTTTAAATGGTGTTTTGCAGTAAGCTGGAAGTAAGTGTTTCAAACTTAAGTTTATGCATGCTGTTTTTGGTCAATAGGAGATCTTGAATTATAGATAAATAATGAAAGTGATAACCATTTTTCACCATTTTTAGATATAGTCAAACTTCCATAAGCATATTACTATGGCAAATAATACAAATAAAAGTTAAAAGAACAGAACATCAAACTTCATTGGCCCATTAATCTAACTACATTACTCTCAATTTTTTCTTATCTTTTACAAATGCCTCCTTTTTGAGCAAGGTGGCTATAGCATTTTATAGAAAATTGAAAGTATAATACTGCTGTATTGGGACTGCTTCAGTGCTGATCTATTTGAGAGGGCACTCATCAGAACCACAAGAGTAATCTTAATTTCACAATTAATGTCTAATACATAAGTTAATTTTTAGTTATCCTGATTGACTCAGACATATCCTTTTAAGTTGAAAATTTAATTTAATTTAATTTAATTTAATTCTTTGTGGTGCTGGGAGTGGAATCAGAGTCTTGAGCATGCCAAGCAAATGCTCAACCATTGAGCTACACCCCTATCTTTCAAACATCAGCTTAAAGGCACCCGAAATCTAAAACTGTTGATCATTGATTTGGGTTCCAATATTCTAATCTGCAAGTTCCCCATCTTAGTGTTTTTACCACCACATTTGTTTACTGAAGGTCTTTAGGACCTTTCCACATTCTCGATTTGACTGACTTCAAGGTAACCTTAAAGCTGATGAGATAAACTTCTTGCATATAGGGGAAATAGCTTAAAAACAGGAAAACTGATGGAAAGTTACCATTTTAAAAAATCCTGATAAAGTGAGAGGTCTAGGTAACTACCATCAGTAGCTACTAAAATCATTAGGTGAAGCTCTAGGAAATTCTTAATAAGAGAGATCAGGTTGATACTACCCTAACCCAAATATCCACAGTAGTGTTGCTAAAAGTGAGACAACTGTATATTTTGTGCTTCCTAATACCAGTAGGAAGTACATACCCTCACCAATGATGTGCCAAAAAAAAAAAGAAAAGAAAAGAAAAGGAAAACCGAACTTGAATCTAATCACGGCTTTAGTACTAATGTTTGCTTCTAGAAAACATGGAGGGATAGAGGGCTGTGGTAACAGCTTGCTTATCACACGTAGTATTTAATTACACATCCTAGAAATACTGAACAGTCAATAATAGGAACTTTCCAAATGTAAGAAGGCACTTACATACTTACTATTGCTCTCATTTGCCAAGATGGAAACGTGTTCCAATCTAAATTGTTTGAAGATTGCTTGGCATTTGAGTGTAACACAGGCTTGTTTTAGTGCTGTCTCTGTTTGTGCCATTTTAAATGGTCGAATATTTACACATTTGAATTCCCCACTTTTCCCCAGACAGTTACATTCATGGCAACTAATCAGACACATAACTAGTCATGATACAGTTATAAGAAGTTCTAACATGCGACCACAGTTGGTAGGAGAAGCTTTACTGTGAGACCTACTTAACACCCAATGAACTGGACAATAAAAACCAGTATATTGGTGACTGTGAAAACTGTCGAATTTGTATGTGTGGCTTTTTACAAAACAGTTTCAAAAACAAAAGCTACATAAAATTTAATTCAATGAACATTTGGATCCCCTGAACAACTTTTATATCTTGTGGAATATAGTTTGAAAACCACTGGTGTGGTGTCAAGAGTAGGCTTTGATTATAGAGAGCCCTACTCAGTCCTCATCTCGGTCTGGGAAGTTTATATTTGTAATCCCATGGAAACATTATTGGAATTTCAATAAATTAATTCCAATCTACCACTTCCAGTGCAACCCATGGCAAGAATAAAAACACTAGGGCGTATTTGTAGTTATAAAGTGGGCAAAGGGTCCTAAGTCTGGACAGGCTGAAGGTTCATTGGAACAAAGGCCTTGACCCAGGGTCCAATGCGAATTTTATTAATTCCTGAAGAAATGAGTGGCTTGCGCATGAGTGACTGTGAGAATGGTGGGAAATACCTGATGAGTACTGTGAGCTAGGCTAGGTAAGGGGGCTGGAATCACCTCTTCAATATGCAGAGAAAAGGATATGCAGCAAGACTAATGTGCATTAACAACTGAGGTAGCATCTAATGTTTTGGGGTCAGAACTTCAGCTATGATTTGTAAACGTTTCTGCCCTGCAAAATCATAGCCTCTTACCTTGAAGCTTGATCCTAGTTGACAGCCATGGAGTGGTGGGTCTTCATTCTGCCCAGCTCAACCATGTTTTTTGGGTCTCAGTGTGGGGAAAAACTGACTGTTGCCTAGCTTCAAAGATTACACATCAACACCTCAGCTAGATCTTTTTACATTGCTTAAAGCCAATTGAAGTGATAAAAAAATGGCCTAGCCATCTATATACATGTTAGTACATGGAGATAAGGCCAGGTTTAGCCAAAATGGAGAGAAATGCTCTTTATTCAAGGAGAGAGTCATTTAAGTGACTCTCCACATCTGATACATTGAGGTTCTCAAGTTAGTTTTGTGATTTACTCACTAAACACTTTTGTCCAAGTTCCTTTACCTCTCTGAGTCTTACTTTCTCCATGTGTAAGGACAGGTAAGGTCAGATTTACTTTTCGTCATTACTGTGAGATATAAATGACTTGAATTTGTGAGTTTCCATAGTAGATATCAGTATACAGTAGAACATGTCAAAAGATGTCTACTGAAGTATGGCCCAACATCAGGTCAGCACCACTTGAAACATACTTCTTAATTTGGATACGCATCCTCAGACCTCAAATTTGGTTGTGCCAAAGTAGGCATTTTCTTTAGCTAACTTGTCCCTGAGCTTCCACTCCACCTTTTAATGAGAACCTGATCTTGGATCTAAACACTGCACACCCTCTCCTGGCTGCCCATTTCTCAACCTTTTCCTGGGATAAACATCAAATATTCATCATCAAATCATCAAACATTCAGTGTTTGAGAAGAATGCCACTCTGGATCCTGTATGGCTTCTTCAGGTGTGCTTCTCAGATCATGAGGCTCTGGGGTTCTTCTCACTCTCAGATACTGCAATATTTTAGAGTTGCTTTGTGCATGAGAGCCATGAACTTTTGCTGCCTGGAAGAGCCTCTTTCTACTCTGGGAGAAGCTCTTTCACATCCAACTCTCTTATCTCAAGGCATTTAGCCTTTCTTTTCACATCAAATTATATTTCTCCAAGTGTCTTTACCTTCCCTGATGCCACAAAGCTATAGTTTCTTAAAAATGCCCTCCTTCTGGGTAGGAGACAGAGCTATCACCATACTCACTGGGTGGACATATGGTACCTATGGGTAAAGAGAAAGGCAGATATGCCCTCATCCCAAGGATGTGCAGTTTGGTCATACAGTGGTCCTCAGCAGATCTCCCTTGTTACAAGATGGTACAGGATTTGCTACAGACTTAAATGGAAGAAAAAAAATCAAAAAATGAGTGTTCCTGAAACACTGTCTTACTATATGTATTTGGGTGTATTTTATGCCAGGAGATAGCAAGTACAAAGACTTTAGGGATAATAAAAGATTTGAATACATGTTATGTCATCCTGAAAGAGTTCTTGGTTGGCTAAGGACACCTAGTATAAAACCACATCTTAAAGGCATCCTCACTGAGGAGCCTGCCATTTTCTGGTTCTCAGCAAAATTCATGATGGTAAGAAAAGTCTCTGTTGGAAGGAAAGGTTTTCTAATTTCTTTGCTTTTTGTTTTTCTTTTTTTTTTTTTTTTTTTTTTTTTTTTTTGTTTTTTTTGGTCTTTTTCCTTTTTATCGGTACCAGGGATCGAACTCACGACTGCCTGCTTGCAAGGCAGACGCTTATGTCGCTGAGCTAAATCCCCAGCCCCCTGTTTTTTGTTTTTCTACACCATAACTTGTCAGGTGTTTTTGTATTACTACTTTGTCTCCTAACAGGGTTGATTGTAATTAGAGTATCAACTATAATTGGAGAAATATAATTAGAGTTATCAGATTTCCTAAATTAATTTTGTTTTCCACTGGGCAATATTCAAAATCAATTGTAAATGTAAAGATTCAAAAAATCCTCAAGGAACAGTGCACCAGTGTTGGCTTTTTGAGAGTTTCTTGCCTCAAAAAGTTTGTATGTTTCCAAAAAGATTTACTTGAGTCACCTTATTCAATCTGTTGGTATATTCAAAATGTTCACTGGAAACCATAACAATCTGGAGATTTAGAAAAGGTCTGGTAACCTCACTTGAATTATCTAAACTTTTATGACAAGTGAGTTTAGCTTCATTTCATGAGAGCAAATTTTGGCTTTCTTGATATTATCTGCAGTTTCCTTTCCTGTGAGACTAAAGCTCACAAGAGTCTCCAAGTGGTCCAAATTTAATTGAAAGCCAAAGCATCTTAATCAAAATATTTTGTTTCATGATACTGGCTTACTAAGCTTTTGGAAGAAACAGTGGTAGATTGGGAATTGCAGTAGGAAGAAGCCAGACTAGCTTGTGACTTCATTGTTTCAGGCCAATTAGAGAAGAAGCTCCAACAAAACAATTTGAGGACATTTTACCAATACACATAGGAAAAATGGATATTTTGAAAGCGTCTTATTTCTCCAAAAACAACAGCAATGTTTTCGCTGGAAATATTTATTGCATCACTAGCTGTTAACTTGCCAGTTGTAGAATTTGTTTTATGTAAAAGAGATTTTCATGAAAACTTATATTTTTTGACATTTTAATAGATACATAGTAGTATCATGTTGTGAAGTTTATATTTTCCTAATGACTAGTGATATTGGGCATATTTAATATGTGCTCATTTCCCAACTGCATATCCTCTTTGGTGAAATGTCTATATGTATCTTTTGCTCATTTTTAAATTGAATTTTCTTATTGTTGATTTTTGAGGACTGTATTATTCTGGATACACATCTTTTGATGCACATATTATTTTCAGATATTTCCCCCATTCTGTGGCTTGATTTTTCATTCTTAACAATGTTTTTCACAGCACAAAATTTTTTAATGTAAGTGAAGTCCAATTTGTTCACTTTTTCTTTTATGTACCATAATTTCAGTGTCAGGTCTAAAAATTCTTTGTCTAACCCCAGAACACAAAGATTTCCACTGTATTTTCTTCTATAAGTTTTGTATTTTTAGGTTTTACATTTATGTCTATGATGTATTTTCAATTATTTTTTGTATGAAGTATAAGGTATGGGTCAAGGATTACTTGTTTTGCATGTGGATGTCCAGTTTTTCTAACATGTACATTGACAAGAGTATCTTGTTTCCTTTGCTTTTCTGCTGCTGAAAGTTTTATTTCAAGAATTTATGCTTTGATTCTCCATCATAATAATTCTACTCATATAATTGTCTGATTAATTGTATTTTTAGCACCTTAACAGAGAAAATTTTCAAATTTAGGAAGACTACTGTGTGTGTGTGTGTGTGTGAGAGAGAGAGAGAGAGAGAGAGAGAGAGAGAGAGAGAGTGTGTTTTCTTAAAACAAAACCATTATTTGGTTCCTTTCCAACAGAAAATATGATGCATTATTTTAGAAGTAGAGAGGTAGATTAATAAATTTTACCCTGATCACCATTTACCAAATACCAGTGTTGAGGAAACTGGATCTGGTACCGGAAGATGATTTTATTCTGAGCTCTGCCCAATCATATTAACTTGAGAAAATCAATCAGTGTCTGACTTTTGTTTATCCCTCCCCATCAAATAGGGGAGGGAAGTGAATAATTTCTAAGATCTGTTGCAACTCATTAGCCTTGGTGCTATGCAGGGTTGACAGAAACTCAAAAGAATTTACAAGCTGTGAATCATCAAAGCAGGATCAGGTTGTTGATGCTAAAGATCTGTTATTACCCAAGTGCCTCTTTACATGAATTGAGTGAACTCTTTTTGTAACAGTAAGTGCAAAATATGGTTGGGACACAGGTGATCTCATGACATTTGTTAACACAAAGTCTGGTTCTGTTTTTACAGCTGGACCAAGCAACACTCTCCTTAGCTGTGAGGGAAGACTACCTTGACAACAGCACAGAAGCCAAGTCTGTAAGTTCTGCTCATAGTCCACTGTGTGACAGTCAGGCTGCCACCAGATACATCAGTCGTTCTAAAATTCCTGCTTCTTTACTATAAATGAGCAGTGTGCTTGCTCACTGACCATATCCCTAACACAGGAAGCAAAGGCCTTCTATTTAGGTGATTCATTCTACTCTCTGTCTACTAGAAGTCTGGGTACCAAGGTATCCCTTGTGATATAGCTGGGTAGACAGCATACCCAAATGAAATAACTGAAAAATGACCTTGCACTCATTCCTGAGCAGTGTAGAAGTGAAGCATGAAGAGGGACACCCAAGAGACCAGTGGCTCTGAGTCTGCTGAAGAGTTGCGTGGGAACCTGGCACTGTGTGCCAAGCCCTGGAGAATCTGACTTAGTAGACAGACTGGAGGTGGGATCTTGGAGTCTGACAGTTACCCCAGGTTAAAGGAGGTTAAAGAGAACTGGAAAAGATCAGTCAGCCTAGACTGCTTGGCTTGGTATGGAAACCCAGTTGTTTCCTGAGAATGGAAAGAACTCGTTTGTTTCTGACACTTTTTAGTGACTTTGGAAACTCCTGAACTTTCAAAAGAGTCTCCTACCTCAGTGTCCTGGGTCTATGTTGATACTTATCTCTATTTGCAGAATGCTCAAGAGGACAGGAAACTACTCAGTATCCTAGGCAGCTTCCTTCATGAGGAAGCTCAACAAAGGAGTTGGCAAGTTTTCCTTTTTAAAAGTAGAATGAAACTTTTTCAGCCTCAGGGTGCCTCTGTTTCTGTTGTGGTCTCAGCAACCATTCTCAAAATCATCTCACCCCCTTTCAGCAGTTAGTTAAGTCTAATTAATCCTACCTTGAAAACATCTCTTCCAACCATCCACAGTCAGGTTCTTTTCTATTCTTACCTGGACACAGCAAGTAACCTGTAACCTGGTACTACCTCTCCTAAAGGATCGCTCGACAAGTTCTGTTCTCAAAGTTCCAGCATGCTATGCTCTCCAGATAGGGTCTAAATTCCTTGAAGTCAACTCAAAGCTTCTTAATAGCTTGATTCCAAGCCATCTTTCCCAGTTCATCTCCTTTCCTTCTTCCCTCAACAAAAACAGTTCATGCTCCCTACTGCTACCAAACTGAATCCTTCAAATGCTATGCCTTCCACTTCGTTCTTAGGCTGGACTTCTGTAGCTCTCGGTGTCTAAGCACAAAGTGACTTTATCAAGGAACTTATTTTGATCTCTGTAATGTTACATCTAATAATGAAATGTTTACCTTCCTCACTGAATCACACACTACTTGAGAACCAGATTAGAGCATTATTTTTTTCTGCACCACTTCCCCCAACATATGCACAGGGCTCCTCGCAAGCTACCTTGCATGTATATTGAGTAAGTTGAGTGTTTTCCTGAATTGAAATGGGAATGGCAGAACATTCTTTCTAATTAAGACTATTTTGTGACTTGCTTACTGAGTCAACCACTTTTCATTAAGTGCTTGACATATGCCAAGGACTGTATGTGTTCTGAAGTCAGAAACATGGTAAGAATAACTTCTAGAGCCAATGTGTACACTAGGGAGGAAATTCTGTATTTGTTATTTTCTATGTTTCTTGTCATCATTTCTTTCCTCTCTCCCCTTTTTTCCCCCTGAGCTGTGGAGGAGAACTTTATGAAAACTATACACAACTAAAAATACACAGGGCTGCAATCTTTTATTTCTTAGTGTGATGACGGGTAAATTGAACTGGATGAGAACAAATCACAGTTTCTGCCAGTGTTCATGATCAGTCATCCTACTTTTAGAAACAGGCTTTTCTCATTATTTTATTAAAGGCTCATTCACTTGGAAAAAGGACTCCTGACCTTTAACATTTTATCCTAGACTCATTTGGAGATATTTTGTGTACTCATAATATCTCCTGTTACTGGAAGACTAGTTCTCTTGCTATTTGATGACCTGATCTCTCTGTGTGCCATGAAAACAGTGCCCACATCCTCATAACTCTTTTTTTCCTCCAAAAGTGGTAGGCGAGTAGCTGGTATTTCATGATGGCCGCACCATGCGTTGAGTACAGAGTGAAGATGAAGGACATTTATTTCCACCTGCTGTTGCTGTTCTTCTGTGTCTGTTTAACATACTTCCTACCAGGCTGTTGTCATGGTCACTGGCTTCTTTATCTCTTACAGTATCGTGAAGCCCTTTATAAGTTCATGGTGGACACTGCCGTGCTTTTGGGAGCTAACAGCTCCCGAGCAGAGCATGACATGAAGTCAGTGCTTAGGCTGGAAATTAAGATAGCTGAGGTAAGTCTCAATCAAAAATGATTTTTCCCTTTCCTTTTTCCTTTCTTTGTTTTCAAGGCAGTATATCCTGAATGAAATCATCAATTGGCACCAAATAGCAGCCTTTTGTGTCATTGCCCTTTGGGTCAGGTAGGACTAAGTGGCACCCTCACGGAAAATGAAAACAACAAGAACCATGACAGGATGAAGAGTTTTTCATGCGGTCTACTTAGTTTTAAGCACATTCCCTGTCTACATGCTACTCAGCTGTGGCTCAAGAATAGCAACAGAGAGATCTGTTTTCCTACAGAAATTGCTGTATCGTTCAAATGGGAGATAGACGTTTAATGAATCTTTCTTTATTTAATTGAATGGAAGGTTCTTATTTTGTGTGTGATGCCAGGGACTGATCCCAGGACTCCACCCATGCTAGGCATGTGCTCTATCCCTGAGCTACACTCCCATCTCTGGCAGGTTAATTTCACTTCAGACTGATTTTTATACTTTCCCATTCGGGTTAAGCCTGATGTCAGATCTGGGCTTATGTGTACCAATACTGGACATAAAACTTGATGTAGAATGATACATAGAATACTGGAAAGTATTTTAAAGCTGACTTTCAGGTGCTATTTTGTGTCTACCCTTTTTATTTCTCTCTTGCCACAATTTAATGAATGCCATTGTGTCATGTGTCGGGTCCTCAGTAAGTCACCTTTAATTCTTTGAGGTCTATGGTAGGGACCGAAAGATAGCAAAACCAACTTGTGCTAGAATAATGAAAAATGGTAAATGATTAGCCTTGTTTATACAATAACTTTTCCTAGAGGAACCAAAGTATAGCAGTCCTTTATGTACCCAGGTCCACAGAGAACAAAATATGGTGACATTTTCTTCTTGGGAAACTTCGCAGTGAACAACAAAAAACACTTGTACAGAGAAACTTTTCCATGTGGTTTGGTGATCTTCTATAATAGAAGTTGGTAAAACTGGGGTGATTGGGAGGCCAAGTTCTGTGAGTTAGAGGTGTGCTGAGGCATTCAGCAAGGCTGAAGGGTCAGGGTCAGGGGAAACTAGCCTCGCCTGAGGCGATGACGTTCACATACATCTCTCTTCACACTCCTCATTGTGATGCAAAAGGTTCATTCCTGTGTGTCACCTTGGAAAACCATGAAGCTGCTGCAGATTGTGCCTCTAAGCTGTTCCAATTCCCTTGCTTGGGAAATAAGAGGCCTAGAAATCTAATTTGGACTAAAGGTCTGATATAGCAGAGAAGGCCTTACCCTGAGCCAGTAAGTTGAACCAAAAAGGGGACTAAAGACAGCTGGGCTAAGGCAAGACTGGGAATTTTCACCAGGCTAAATGAAGTGACAAATCCATTGTGTGCAGGAGAGTAGCTGGCAGAGAGGTGAAAACAGCTCTGGAGCCAAAGAGCTCCGACCTGGGGCTGTGAGGAAAGGCGTGTGGAAATTCTCTGACACAATGATTCACATCCAGCCAGGGAACTCTGAGACACATACGAGCAAGGAGATGCTAAGGATACTGAAGCATTTAGGAAAGAGGAGGCAAGTACCTGCCACTCAGCCCTCTGTGATTTTGTCTTGAACGATCCATGGTATGTAGATGTTTGGCCTGATACGAATGCTCTGCTCCTCCTGTAATTAGTGGGATGTGTAGTCTTAGAGAACCTTCTGAGGCTGAGGAGGCAGGATAGCCCACTGAAGCCCAAAGAAATCTTGGTAAAGACAGTGATGGAGGTGTGCATTGCACCAGTCCAAGCTACTGAGACTGTCCATAAGGACAGATCTTGATGGTGTAGGCAATGTGTTTAATTGTGTTGATTTGGGGTGATGTGGAAGCCACTGTCTATCAATAGAAGTGATTAATATAGGCTCTGGGAAGATAATCACTTTGGCCATTCTTAGATTAGGCTAAACATGGTGGAAGCTAGAAGCTTCAATTTAGTATTGGCCAAATGGCGTAGAGCGTGAATGTTTGGAGTGCGAAGAGTGTGAAGACTCAGGGCTGGAGACGCAGCTTTTGAAGTATGTGGCCAGGTGATAATGAGTGCACACCCCCAGCAGTAGGGCTAGGAGAATCTCACTGCCAAAGAAACAAGAAGGATTCTTGAGAGAATGAGCTGTTGACAGAATGATTATGGGCAGCAGTGGTATCTAGATAGCCTCATGTTCCTTGGTAAAGATTGGTCCTGAGAGGTGAAGGGATGGTCTGTGGTTCATAAAATGTTTAGATTGGGATCCAACCTTACTTTGGCTAGCAATACTGAGGCTGGAATGGACTTTGCTCTTCCACATTATGAAGGAAAACAGAATTCTTGGAAGTTCTTGTACTGGGGACAATATTGTACACTCCAGAGGGCATGTAAATTGAAAAAATATTTTTCTTAATCCTACCTAAAATGTTGTGGTTTTTTGTCTCTCTCCTCAGCTTGGCACCACACCAAAGCCTTGAAAAACTTTTTAGTGCTGTGCAGATGTTTGGCAAATGTAGAAAGTAGTCATGCAGTAAGAAATGGCTCATTTGAAAAAATAACTAAAGTCTTTTCCCAACAGATAATGATTCCACATGAAAACCGAACCAGTGAGGCTATGTACAACAAAATGAACATTTCTGAACTGAGTGCTATGATTCCCCAGGTTAGTGAAAACTATCCAGGAAGTTTCCTCTTAACTGGTCATTTTGCAAGTGATTGTATTTCATCTATGTACACATTTTTGCCTTGTAAAAACCTACTGGAGATCTTTTTGGTTATCATCATCTTTGTCTGCTATCACATAAAACATCCCTTGTGTGGATATCAGGCTGCCTTTTCTTGTAGAGAACAGAAAATACCTCTGACCGTGCCTTACAACAGTAAAGCCCATTTTCTTATATGACAAAAATCTAGACACAGATGGTAGTTGGTATTGGTTTAGCTGTTAAATAATATTTTGAAAGATCCAAGTTCTTTTTCTCTTTGCATTCTACTGTGCTCAGTGTATTTTTTTTTTTTTTTGAGAGATGGTCTCTCTCTAATTCAGGGTGGCCTTGAATTCACTTTGTAGCTGAGGCTGGCCTCAAACTCACAGTAATCCTCCTGTCTCAGCTTCCTGAGTGCTGGGATTACAGGCCTGCACCACCATGCCTGACAGTGTATTTGATTTTTGACTTCATGTTTGATGATGACTCCTAGTTTGAAAGTGGCTACCCTAGCTCTATATGTTATAGCACCTGCCATCCAGGCAAAAAGAAGGGAGAAGGACCAGTGTTGGCCACATCTGATTCTTTTTCCTAAGGAACACAAAACAGCATTTCCAGAATAGCCCCAAATATGTTTCTTAGTTTGGGTCATGTGCTCACCCCTAACTCTGAAGTGGGGAGTGGATGGATTCTGGGCAAGTGAATAATTGTTTTTCCATTTTAGTAGTAGAGAAAGACAAGGAAGAAAGGTTGGTAAATGCCTTTTAGAGGAGTCAATCTACTACCCCAAGCAGTGATTTAGGGAAGAATGGAGGAGTCCTCTATATTCCGTTGATGTTTCTTTCTTCCCATGATTAAAAAAGGCTGTTTCAGGGAGAAGAAAGTAAGGTCCTGAGGAGTCTGTACCTGTGCATATGGGAGCAAGGAGACGGCAGTGAGAACTTAAGGAGAGAAGGGGTGTGTAGCCTGGAGAGAGGGAAGTGCAGGAGACAAGGGGAGAGTGTGGGAGGAAGGGGGCACAGACCAGAGGAGTAGGCCAGGGCCTGAGACTAGAATGGGGAACAGGAGGGTGTTCAGCAGGAAGCTCCTGGCTGCAGGAGTCCAGGGCACCGCGCAGATTACTGCAGGCAAGAGCATGTTGCCACTGAGCGCACATTACATATACACAGACTCCATTTGTCCATAGGGAGGAACGGTAATAATCAAGACATTAGCTTCTACGTAAGTAAAGGAAAAGCAATTATGTCTATAATTGCTCAGCCTACTCTGTTGGCCTTTCTTCTTACTCGCTGCCTAACGAAGTTTCTCTCTCTTTTTTTTTCCCCTCTCACTCTCTCCTCAGTTTGACTGGCTGGGCTACATCAAGAAGGTCATTGACACCAGACTGTATCCCCACCTGAAAGACATTGGTCCCTCTGAAAATGTGGTGGTCCGTGTCCCGCAGTACTTTAAAGATTTGTTTAGGATATTGGGCTCTGAGAGAAAGAAGTAAGAACTTTCATGTGCATTTTACTGTGGCTTTTGTTTTCTCTGTAAACCAGAAAGGCCTTCTTTTTGCGGTTCTTTGAAAGAAAGGTGCTTTAAAGGAAAGTTACAACAAAAGAGTCACGGGGACAATTATGGTGCCCTTTGTGAAAAATTGGTCCAAACCGTCGTCTGGTGTAATTTACTAGCTATGATGACAACAAATGCAAAACGTTTTTGCTCCTTCTTGCTGGTTTTTCTCCATACCGTTCTCTCTGAGAGCCTAAATTGTTTATTAGTTTTGGGAATGAGTTATGGAATGATGCTATTTCCTGAAATTTCTGTGTGAGCATATTGAACTTTTCCAGTTCATTCTTGGCCTTTTACTGCCTTTCTTCTTCTCATTTCATTTTTAGTTCGTCACTTTCTGGCACTAAACCAAAGTACCAATATTGAAGAGACATAAAGCCATTTTCGAGAGCTGTGGAAAAATTGCACTGATGAAACAAATTTAGGAACTGCCAGGTGTTTCTCACTGTAAAGAACCTTTTAGATTGGCTAGTTCAGTACTACCAAGAAAAGTCCTAAAATGCCCACAAGACAAATTTCCATGTTCATTAAGCCATTCAACTTTGACTACAGAAAAGTGATCACAAAAAGGTCAACACATTTACAAAAACCACCCACTACACCTAATTGCCGGGCCATGATTAAAATTCATACTTTTTCCTGTGGATTCAGACAAGGCTATGTTGCCGGGAGTTATGTTTAAAAAAGACCCCTGAAAAAGTCCCAGTAATGAAATGCAGCATGGGTCCCCACACTTGGAAGCATTTAGACCCGCTATAGAATTGCTGTTCTTTTTAAGATCCCATCTGAGGATACAAATAATCCATGTTCATCGAGGGAAATAAACAGTCAAGAGAGAAAAGAAATAATACATTTGCTTTTAAGTTTCCCATTCAGAGATAGGCAGTGATTCTTTGAAAATTTTCTAAATGAAAATTGAATTTACAGTTAAGTGCACTTGTGGGACAGAACCTTGGCTATTCCAAGAGTGCTCAATAGGGCAGTAATGCCAGGAGTGTTTCCATGACCCTTTGTTGAAAATACACATTTCCAAGGCTCTCCAGAGTCTGACAGAGTAGTTCTAGGGGAGGCCCAGGAATACGGATATTTTCAAAATTAAGTTTATTGGTGCAGTTTAGATATACATAATGACTACATCCATCATAGGAAACTTGTTCCTGTACATGATACATAGCTAACTTTCTCCTTTTTTCCTATTCCCTTACCTTTACTCCAACCCCTCTTCCTCTCCTTATTTACAAAGCTTTGTATCCATTTTATCCTTTTATGCCCTTCATTTTTTCTTTTCCCTTCCTTTTTCTCCTCCCTTGTTTCCCTTTCCTCTTGAATAATGTCTTCAGATTTCTTTATATTTATTAAACATTGTAGTCCTTATTTGTACTTTCAGTTTTTCATACCTGAGAAACAATGCAATATTTGCATGTTTCCAATTTATTTCACTTAAGAGTATGGTCTCAAGATCCATCCATTTAGCTATACACATCTTCAGTTTATCCTTCTTTATGGCTGAGTAGTACTCCATTGGGTTCAAAAATCACTGGTTTTTTTTATCCATTGAACTGTTGTTGGACATTTGGGTTGTTTTCAAGATTTAGCTATTAAAAGGTGTGCTTCTATAAGCATGGGTGCACATGTAGTGCTGTGGTATGATGCTATTAATTTTTTGGATGTCTTCCTGAAAGGATAAAAAGGAATCTGTATTTTAAGCAAGCAGTCCTGAAGTGTTGTGATTAGCTTCTTTAAGAGTAGTGGAGAAATCATTGCATTATACACTTTCTTTGTAAGCAATTGCAAGCTTTGAAATTCAAGATTAATATTCCCTATCTGAAAAGTTTAGGGATAGAAAGACTTTAGGTTTCAGATTTTGGAATATTTGCATATATCTGTATCTATCTATCTATCTATCTATCCATATCATATATATAGTATATCTTGGAAATGGGATCCAGCTCTAAACAAAAATTCATTTGTTTTATATATACTTTATGTACATTGCCTGATGATCATTTTTGTTTTTAATATTTATTTACTTATTTTGGTACTGGGAATTGAACTAAGGACCCTGCATTTCCCAGGCAGGCACTGTGCCACTGAGTTATATTTCCGGCCCACCTGATGATAACTTTATGATGTATTGTTTATATCAATTTTATGCTACATTTTGTCTGTGCCTCTTCATATGAGGTTGGGTGGAGAATTTTTCTCTCTTGGTGCCAAGTTGGCATTCAAAAATCTCTGGACTTCGGAGCATTTCAGGTTTTGGATTTTCAAATTAGGGTTGATTAACCTGTACTATAAAGTATAGCACAATTGCTTTTCTGCTTATATGCCTGTGAGCTTCTGACCCTATTTTAAATTTTGTTGATAATTCCCATTAAACTGTGAGGTATGGTGCACTATATAGTCATGTTAAGCACCTGGAGTCAGTTTCTTCCACTTGCCTCCATTGCTTTCACATGTAAAATTGGGGGTACTTTTGGAAGTTGTATTAATTTTGTTAAAAAAAAAACTAATTTGCAACCAGGATAAATTGGGTCTTGGTGATGGTTGTACTTCAGAATTCTAGGACTTGTCTGTCTCTCCCTCCTTCCCCTTCTCACTCTCTCCTCCTCTCCCTGTCTTCCCTTCTCTCACCCTTCCTTCTTTTGCCTCTTCCTCCCTTCCTCCATTCCTTCCTCTTATTTAATTTAATACTTATTAGTATATGTTTGCAGTATATAGTGTTTACATCCCTTGTGGAGAGTTGGTGCACATACATAACTCATCTTAATTCCTTTTTTCATCCCCCTTCTCTCCCCACCTCCCCCGTCCCTGCATCTCTTGATCCCCTTCCCATTTGAGAAACACCTAATGTTATCACTTGTGTCTACGTGTCCTCCCAAAGCCTCATGCAGGCACAGGTGGGGCTTTTTGAGCTGGCTGAATTGAGTGTGTGATTGATTCATGGTCCATTGATTGGTTTATCACTGCCCTAATCCTGGTAACCTGGATATAATATAAGGGACAGAAAAACTTGTCTTTTCCCTTGCTTGCTTTACTACCTTCTGATCACCATGAACTTTTTCTCCTCTGTGATGCCTGTCTGCCGTGCCACCCTGCCTTGGAGCCAGCAGATTATGGACTAGAACCTCTACAAACTGTGAGCTAAATAAACTTTTAAATTTCTTTGTTGGGCATTCTGTCTCAGCAATGAGAAATGCATCTAAGATACATATCTAACTATTTTTTATTATCTATCTTTTATTTTGCTCTTTGTTTATAATTTGTGTTTCTTATATAAGAAAAACCATGTGATACTTATGTTTGTGCATCTGATTTATTTTATTTACCCTTATAATCTCAAGACACGTCCATTTTCCTACAGTGACTCAAGTTTATCTTTTTTTATGCCAGGTAATACTCCATTGTTTGTAAATACCACAATTTCTTTATCCATTCATCTGTTGATACACATATAGGGTGCTTCCAGGATTTAGCTATTGTGAATTGCTATAAACATGAGTATGTATCACTGTAATATGATGTCTTCACTCTTTTGAGAAGTTACCTAGAAAAGGAATAGCCGAGTCAAATAAAATTTCTATTTTTAGGTTTTAGAGGAATCTCCATACTGATTTCCATGGTGGTTATTCTATTTTACACTCCCAACAATAAAGGGGTGTTGCCTTTCCCCCCCTGCAGCCTTGCCAGCATTTGTTATTTAACTTCTTAATGATCATCATTCTTTTGTGGCTAAGATGCAATCTCAGTGTTGTTTTGTGTTGTATTTCTTTAATGGCCATTGATATTGAGCATTTCTTCACATGCTTAGTGGCCCTTTTTATTTATTTTTCCCATGAAGTGTCTATTTATTTCACTTGCCCATTTTTCCCCTGGGATCCTTTGTTTTGAGGTGGGACAAAAATTTTTTTGAGTTCATTATTTATTCTATTTTATTTACTTATTATTTTAAAGATAGTAAAACCAACAAAACAAAACAGAGCAAAGCCAATCAAAACAAAGCAGCAAAATTGTTACAGAACTTCAAAGCAGGATACTAGGAAAACAACAATAGCTACTACAACACATCTTGTTATCTTCACGATAGTCGTCCATTCCATCCAGTATAGCAAAATCAAGCCAAAAATAAAACAGAATAAAACCAATCAAACAGAATATTGAATAAAGCAAAAACAACCAGAACAAAGCAAAACAGTGAGAACAATATTGGATTTCAAAGACAAGCTAGAAGGAAATCCCCCATATTTGCTATATGTACACTATCATTCTCCCAAGAGATGCCTAGACTTCTGGCCCCAGGCCTGCAAAATCAACCAAACAATACAAGCATTTAGTTGCTTTATGTGCTTTAGTTGCTATCAACTCAGCCTATCCTCTGAACCTGCTGCTTGCTTATTGGGGGGGGGAGGTGTTGATTCTCAGCCTGCACACCAGTATGCTCATGGGAGGCACTATCTGCATTTTTTCTTCCAAGAACCTGTGTGGCTCAGGCAGCTTACTGGAAAGGCTGGCTAACTGGCTTCTTGTTGGGTCCTCCCAGTCCCAGCATGGCCGATTCTCAGGAGCTGCTGACTTTTCTCTTCCTGAAACCCATGCAGCTTGCACAACTTACCAGAAAGTCTAGTTAGTTGGCTTCTTGGGGGATCCTCCCAGTTGCAGAATGGTCATTATATATTCTAGATATTAATTCTCTCTGAGGAATAGCTGGAAATTTTTTCCCCATTATGTACACTGTCTTTCACTATATTGATTTTTTTTCCTATGCAGAAACTTTAATTTGATATGATTCAGTTTGTTGATTCTTGATACTTATCCTGTATAGCCAGAGTCCTGTCCAGGAGCTAGATAATGAAAAAAAGCAAAATTAAAAAAAAGATAATCAGAGGGGCATGAGAAAAGAGAAAGGTGAGATGTGGGTCTTGTTGAGCAATAAA